GTGTCTCTTACCCTTTCATAATTTAAAAAGAAAATATGAGAGAAAGAAATTACAAGACAATAGAAAGTGAAAAAATTATTTATCAAAATGTGAGAGTGTAACTTTCGTTGTGATTTATTTGCACAGGGTGCAAAAAGTTGCACATTCTGTATATTTGTAATTATTTTTATCTTTATTACCAAAAAAAAAGTAATTATTTTTATCGTCTATATTGATTTGTAATTTTCTATGAGTCTAATAGATTCAGTTGGATTATTTTACTAAGTAAAAAAAATCATGTATTAAGTTCAACTTAATAATGATGTCGTGTGTTCATATAAAATTGATTGTAGTTCCTTATCATATGTTGAAATAAAAATAATAGGGCTCACTATCCACATAAGGGTGAAAAATTCTCCCAATGATGTATGTAGCAACCGCTTCAACTTGGACCAGCTTTTTAGCCCATTTGATTTGGTAACAACTTTGGTAGCTTTTATAATTTTTTGGCTTTTCCATTGGGAAATGACTAAGTTGTCCTTCAATGTTTTTATGATTTTTACATTGTTATTTTTTAAATGGTTGGAATTCACACACTGATGAAGGACAAAATAGTAAACCATTACATCACTATGTTGTTACCAAAAGGACCTAAAAAAGCTATTAGGTGAGTTTTTTTTTGATATTTTTGCCCAAAAAAGCCATGCCAAATGTATAGCAAAAAAATTGGGCTTTTTATCTAGAAAAAACACCTAAAAAATCAGCCAACAAACAAGGTACAAAAGGTTATGGATATGTTTATGGTATTATAGCTATGGTTGTCAGTAGGGGGTGAGACTTTAATGTGCAATCCTTAACAAGACTCGAACCATCCACTTAGGGTGCGTTTGTTTAGATGGACTGGATAAGAAGAGATTATAATCTATCGGACTATTAATCCTGAGATACATTGTCTTGGGATTATTTGGTTAGACTAAATTTGTATCTTATGTTTGTTTAGTCAAGGGATTAGATGTCTGGATTAGACTATTTTTAGTTATCCAATATTTGTTTGGGATATTATGGAAAAGGATAAATGCTTAAATAACTATTTTATCATTTTTAATTATTTATTAAGTAATAGCAATATTAAACATAGCTTTAATATTTTAATTATTTTTAACTAGATTAAATAAAAAATTGTTTTATTTTATTTTTTGCACAATATTTTAATTATTTTAATTTATTATTTTCAATTAAATTAAATTTATAATTTATAATTTATATTTTTTATTTAATATATAATTTTAAATTAACAACACTAAAAAATAATTTATAAATGTTCAAAAGACTATTTTATCATTTTCTAATTGTTTGCTAAGTAATAGCATGGAGAGTAAAATGGATATTTTAGAAAATAATCCCATGGGATACCAATCCCATGGTTTCTATCCCACCCTCCCCTATGGGATAGGATAGTCTCATATTTGTGAGAATAATAGTCTGGGGGGATTATTAGTCCGAAGCAAAAAAAATAAAACAAACAATGGACTATTAGTCCGGTGGGACTAATAGTCCAATCTCATTTCCTAATCTTTCAAAACAAACACACTCTTAATTAAAAGAATAGGATTAATCATTGTCACGAAAATTAATATAACACGATTCAACAACACAAATATTTAATGGATTATGTTCGGATTAAACATGTATACTCTAAAATGAATATCTCTATGTACGTAAAAATTCATGTTGGATGACATGAATCTATTATTGACTCATATGTAACTCAAATGCAACCTGCATATAATAGTCATAGGATCTTAAATGGTTTATTTTCTACCATTGGATTAAATTATATATCTACATAACATGTAATCCTTAATATCATAAGTTGATTGTGAGATATTGAGCTCTCTCTCTCTCTCTCTTAACCATGTTATAAATGTGTCATGTTTGGATTGACACAATTATAAGTGAGTCATGTGAATGTCAACACATAATTAATTGCGTCACATTAAAGTTTGAATATTTTAAATACAAATTTATAAAAAATATGATATCTACATAACATGTAATCCTTAATATCATAAGTTGATTGTGAGATATTGAGCTCTCTCTCTCTCTCTCTTAACCATGTTATAAATGTGTCATGTTTGGATTGACACAATTATAAGTGAGTCATGTGAATGTCAACACATAATTAAATGCGTCACATTAAAGTTTGAATATTTTAAATACAAATTTATAAAAAAAATCAAAAAAATATGAAAACAGTGTACGAATCCCAGCCCTACTTGTCATATTTGATTTTTTTTTTTTTTTTTTATTCTTTTAACAATATATAGCAGACATATAACTCCTTGAGGAACACATATTCATATTATTGCCATTGCCTTAAAAAGTGCAAACAAAGAAACTACAATAATTGGTACTATGGATTTTTTTGGAGTCATCTCAGCAATCAGTGAATAACAGTAACTTGTTTTAAATTTGCATAGATCATAGAAATTGCTTTTTCTGGGAATGGGAGTACTATATGCTTTATGTGAGAGATTAAGGTGCTGAACCTTAAAAAACAAATAAATAAATAAAGATCGTTTCACCTTTCATGTTCAGCTACAGAGTTAGTGGTCCTCTTTTTTATTTTTTTTATCGGTAAATGTTAGTTGTTAATTGTTAGATTAGTATTTATGGAGAGAAAATCTTCTCACCCTTAGCAAAACACCTAAGTATTTACATTCTCTTAATTCAACTCCGCTAAGATGAATTAAACCTATGACCTCATTGGAACTAAACTCTAAAGAAGGTATGGTAACCAACTAGATTAGGCCAATTGGTTGAGTTAGTAGTCCTCTTGTCTCAACAAAATATGCAAATTCGACTCTTTATAGTGTGAAGTTCTTATGAGCATAGAGGACAAAGATTGTTTACTTACAATATTTTTATTAAATATTGATTCGTGGTTAGTGATAGCAATTTGCCCGGCTCACATCTCCCACCCTGCCATTGCCTCGGTTCTTGTGGATTTTTTTCCGTAGGGCACAGTATTTGCTTTCCCTCTTCTATTTTTCCATCTTGGCTCCGATTATCTTAAATAAACAACTTATATATAGAAAAATGCTTGGGAGCACTAATTAGTGCTCCCACTAATTAGGTGGCAGTGAATCCCGCCATTAATGATGTGATGTTTTGATCTTGGAGTTGTATTTTTTTTGTTTTTTTTTACTTTTTTAATGCATACTATATGCTTTATGTGAGAGATTAAGGTGCTGAACCTTAAAAAACAAATAAATAAATAAAGATCGTTTCACCTTTCATGTTCAGCTACAGAGTTAGTGGTCCTCTTTTTTATTTTTTTTATCGGTAAATGTTAGTTGTTAATTGTTAGATTAGTATTTATGGAGAGAAAATCTTCTCACCCTTAGCAAAACACCTAAGTATTTACATTCTCTTAATTCAACTCCGCTAAGATGAATTAAACCTATGACCTCATTGGAACTAAACTCTAAAGAAGGTATGGTAACCAATTAGATTAGGCCCAATTGGTTGAGTTAGTGGTCCTCTTGTCTCAACAAAATATGCAAATTCGACTCTTTATAGTGTGAAGTTCTTATGAGCATAGAGGATAAAGATTGTTTACTTAATTCTATTTACAATATTTTTATTAAATATTGATTCGTGGTTAGTGATAGCAATTTGCCCGCCTCACATCTCCCACCCTGCCATTGCCTCGGTTCTTGTGGATTTTTTTTCCGTAGGGCACAGTATTTGCTTTCCCTCTTCTATTTTTCCATCTTGGCTCCGATTATCTTAAATAAACAACTTATATATATACATATAATTTAATTTGTATAGTTTCACACACCTTTTTCATTTCCCTTTTCAAATCCCTCCTCAAATCCCTCAACCAAACATACCATAATTGTAACGCACCAAAACATTGATATATATATCTCATTTTTTTACTTCTCTATCTTCAATTTTAAATCTTTTAATTTTTTTACTTCTTCATATTTGATCTCTTATACGATATATCTTCCCTGTCTATTATTACCATCTCTTTTAAAAAATAACTAATTTTCTCCAACCAATAAAGTAAGGGACATGAATGGAAGACTACAAACTTACTCCCATCCTGTCTCACCCAGTTGCCACATGCCCACCTGCAGTGGCGGAGCCACTATGTGACCAGGGGTCACGTGCCCCTTAGATTTTTTATATTTTTTATTTTTTTACATATGTATATAATAAAATTTTAAATAAAAATAATATTTAAAATAAAATGTCAATGGTATTTTTAAATTTATAAAAACAATAGTGATTGTTTTATTGAAAATGAAGTGATTACAACAAACTATATTTTTATGTATAAAAATTTTGTAAGAAAATCTTAATATAAAAGTAATATCCATCATTATTGATATGCAAATATAATTAATCTTACTATATATATGTAAAAATTACTAGAGTATTAGTTATATTTGCATTTAGAGTTCACCATTCATATGTTGTTTTACTATTAGTTGATGATATCATAAGTCAATAATGAGGTAATATTACTATTATATGAAATTTTTGTGATTTATTTTACTATTATATAATTTATTTTAAGACTTAAATATATAAATTTTTTACATTGTCCATGATACACTAGTTACACACAATACTTTCTTTTCGATTTTACTTGAAATTAATTGTAAAATTTTATGTGAAATACTTTTATGATAATTTATTTAAGTTTTTTTACTTAATATTAATTCAAAACTTATTATTATCTTCTTAAAGTTGTAATCAATAAGTGCCTCTTCTTATTTATTTTCCTGTCTCCGCCACTGCTGACCCGTAACACTTGCATCATTGTTCCACCAATTATTTCTTCATTTTAACAACTCAATTATTAAATAACTAGACACTCACTTAGCTGAGCCCGAGTCTTAGGGCTAATAACACAACTACTTCCATAACTAACAACTACCTCAAATTTATCCATCAATGGCGGTTTATCAAACAACAAAACACCACAAATCCAAAACAAACTCTCTCTATCTCTACTCACATTATTTGCCCTTTATAAACACCTCTTTTTTCCAATTCTCATTTCTAAAACAAAATCTATCTTTGTTCAAAACATCTAATACAGATACAAATACACATACATATATATAGAGAGAGGTAGTTGTCGATGGCGGAGAAACAAGTGATGGTAGTAGGGATCGACGACAGTGAACACAGCTTCTATGCTCTGGAATGGGTTCTTGAACATTTCTTCAATCCTCCTAAGAATTCTGTTTTCAAGCTCGTTGTTGTTCATGCTAAAAGTGCTCCTAGCTCTGTTATTGGACTCGCTGGACCTGGTATATATATAAATTTTAAGTTGTTATTATTATTTTTTAATTAAATACTTATTTCAACAAAATTATGGTCATAAAATTTAGGAAAATGTTTTGGATGATTAATTTTGAACTCCCAAGCAAACCCTAATGATGCATTATAAGTCACATTATTTAGGAATTCCACTAAAATATAAAAATTATCTAAGTGCTTGTCATGTCATTAACAGTTGATGTTAGGAATCCAAAATTGGTGAGATGTAATATTACTGTAAAATTAATTACATAAAATAATTCGTGCCATACATATCATATGATAGGGTCCATCATAAAAAAAATATTTTCACTCAGATTCCTCCACTTATGTTTTTGATTTTCAGTCTGTAAAATTTTGTAGTTTTTTTTTTTTAATTATTGCTATAAGAAAAAAAAAGGGTTGGTCATCGATTTAAAACGATTTGAACTTGGATCGATCTTTATGATCCATACTATTTAATTTTTAGTATTTTTTTTTTGAATATATCATTTATATAAAAAAAATTAAATTGATTAGATATCAGTAATCACATATTTGGGTTAAATTTATCTTTAAAAAACTGGACAATAAATATGACTTTAAGAATTGTTTGTTCCTTTTTTAAAAACAAATGTGATCTAAATATATGATTATTAATATTTAATCAATTTAATTTTTATATGAATAATTTACATGAAATGTATTAAAAATTGAGCTATTCAGATCATAAAAATAAATCTAAGATAAGCCCATATTCCATTAAACTGGACCTTCAAATCCAATTAAAGAACCAGATAAAAGCCTTCTCCAAATCTTAAAGAAATATTTTAATAATGAGAGAAGGTCAAATTCATCTTCTATTAATGAGCCATCATTATAAATCATTGTTTCCCATATTTCATCTTCTACTAATGATTTTTTCTTTTTAAGTTCGAAATTGATTATAGCAAGGTTTGATTTAGGTCAAGTTTGGCAAGTTGTCAAAAAATTAAAAAGTTAAAAAGTTATTCAAAAAGTTAAAAAGTTATCACTATTCACCAAAAGTTAAAATTACGGCTGCACAATTTTCAATCTTAATTTTTCCCTACACACTAATTTATATAATTTTTTAATACACATTTTTTCATAAAAAGTCAAAAAGTTAACCCAAACAATCATATTTTTTTCCTCAACTTTTTAGTCTAAAAAGTCAAAAAGTATACTTATTTAAACCATTTCAAATAATTTCTTATTTATTTAGGATTTTATTTATTGTGTATTTATGTAGAGTTACAATATGACGTTTTATGTTATTAACATTTGATGTAGCATCCGGGGATGTTATACCAATAATAGAAGCTGATTTGAAGAAGGCTGCCCAAAGGGTTGCCGAAAAGGCTAAGTCTCTCTACAGTAGTAAATCGGTAAGTCTATTATTGTATCATATTTGGTTTGTTTACGCTGTGTTTGGTTGGGAGGTTTGGAGAAAAATTTAAAAAGAAAAAGAGAAAAATTGTATGAAATTAAGTGAGATTTAGGTATATTTTATTCACATTTTATTTATCTTTTTTTATTTTTTTTTCCAAATCCCTTTTCAAATCCTCTTACCAAACATAATATTAAATTAATTTTTGTAAGAACATCCAAATACATCCATACAAACACCCCCCCTCCACATGTGGTGGCAAGACAAATACACTAAATTTTTTTTTAAAAAAAACATAATTAAGTCAAGTGTAAATTAGAAATATATTTTTTGAAATTTATTTAAAACACGAATTAACTCTTGTAATTCTAAAATTTACATCCCACCCTTTCAAGTTTATAATTGCATAATAAATGATCTATTTTATTAATAAATCATCAAACTCAATCAACAGTTTTTAATGATATCAGAAATATATTTCAATTAACAATTCAGGTAATTTTATTATTGTATAGGAAAGTAGTTTGAATTTTCATTTTTTTTATTAATTCTGTTAAATAAAAAATTCTAACGAGAAGTATTTATAATTTTCAAAACCATAAAAGATAATTTAAATTTTAAACAAATCTCAAGAGATACGTTTGTAATTTATTCTTTCAAGTCAAAGACTCCATTATTGTGTGAAATTGTGATTTATAGTTTGTCATATTCCAATTGACTATGTATGTAGGTGGAAGATGCAACAGTGGAAGTGGTGGATGGAGATGCAAGGAATGTTATGTGCGATGCAGTGGACAAACACCATGCCTCTGTCTTGGTTCTTGGCAGCCATGGTTATGGAGCTTTCAAAAGGTATATAATATAGTTTATCCAAATCAATTGTTATGAGAGAGGTTAACATTTAGGTTTATATTTGATAATGTTTCTCAGTTTGGTTTTGTTTTCTGTTTTTTTGAGCAGGGCGGTTTTGGGCAGCGTGAGTGACTATTGCTCCCACCATGCTCATTGCTCTGTGATGATTGTGAAGAAGCCCAAGGCCAAGCACTAAACACCCTCTCTCTCTCTCTCTCTCTCTCTCTCTCATAATAACTAGATTTGATAGATAATTTTTACATTGATATAGATGTGAGATAAAATGTGACTCTCACATGCGCATTTTATCTTATATTTATGTTTTATAATGTGAAAATTATCTGTATACTTGAATTTATTCATTGAGTAAGCACTTGTTATCTAATGTCTACTATGCCCTTCTTCTTTTTTCTTTTTTTCTTTTTGTTTCCTTTGGCTAATAGTACAAACATGAAAAAAATATTTTAGTGGGATGTGGGTTTTTGTCCAGAATGAATGCAATGTGTTCTGTGCATTTTTTTAAGAATTTTTGTATTTTTTGTATTTTTGTTCTTCTTTGAGTTTTACTAGGTTGGGTTCTATGTACCCCCAGTGAAATAATAATATAGCCCATTGAATATATAGAGTTGTATTTTATTTGGGTATGTCTTTTTTCTTTTTATTTCTTTTTCTCATTTTTGAGTGTATGTTTCATTACTTGAAATAAATAAATAAATAAATTGCAACTCAAAACAAAGCCCAGAGAGGACAACAAACGTTAAAGCACAAGCCTCTAGCTCCAAAACATTTTCACGCCATACTTATTATTGTTATTTATTTATTAGTATTATTTGTTTTTTTGTCTTTTGATAAATATTAGGCCTATTCTTAATGTTGTTTTGGTTGGGAAATTTAGGAAGAGATTTGAAAAAATAAATAGAAATGAAAAATGTGTGTGAAATTAGATGAAATATAAATATATTTTGTTCATATTTCACCCATATTTTCCCTTTCCCTTTCCCTTTTCAAAACCCTTTCTTTTTCTAAATTCCTCAATCAGGCCCCGTTTGTTTTGGAAGATAGAATGGAGGAGATCAATAGTGAGAGGATTAATAGTGAGGGGATTGATAGTGAGGGGGATTAATAGTGAAGGGATTGATAGTGAGGAGATTAATAGTGAGGAATTGTTAAATTATTTTTATATAAAATAATAAAACAAATAAAGATATATAAAAAAATAAACATTATATTTAAAAAAAATTCCCAATATAAAAAAAATTTCTAATCCCCTCACTATTTTTCTAATACCATCTCTACCTCCTCCTTACCAATCCTCCTTCCTCCTTCTTACTAATACCAAGGGATTATTAATCCCCTTTCTATCTCTCAAAACAAACACTTCATTCTCAATCTTTTCTTCACTATCAAACTTAATCTCCTTCCCATAACCCTAAACAAATAGAGCCTCAAACACAGCGTAAGACTAAGTCAAAGCATCATGGCAAATCCATTATAGGGCATGAAACCTCTTGTCCAAATCTTTGGACAAGGTTTGAGCTTGTGATTTGAGGTGTACATGACCTCTAAGCTAACCCTATTCTATAATTGGACAATTTAAAAGTTTTTCCAGCAACATAAGGGTGGGTCGAAGGGTCATGGCAAATCCATTAGAGGGCATGAAACCTCTTGTCCAAAGAATATCCTTGGACAAGGTTTGAACTTGTGATTTGAAGTGGACATGACTGCTAAGCTAACCCTATTCTATAATTGGACCACTTTCAGTTTGGTATCATTTTTGCTGAATTCTGGATTTGATATCGATTTGGTGAAACCGTTGGAGCTTAAAAAAGTGACTTTCTCACCAAATTTTAAATTTGATGTCAGATTTAATTCACCGTTGAAGATGGTCTAAGCTAACCCTATTCTATAATTGGACAATTTAAAAATTTTTCCAGCAACATAAGGGTGGGTCGAAGGGTCATGGCAAATCCATTATAGGGCATGAAACCTCTTGTCCAAAGAATATCCTTGGACAAGGTTTGAACTTGTGATTTGAAGTGGACATGACTGCTAAGCTAACCCTATTCTATAATTGGACAACTTAAAAGTTTTTGAAAAAATAATCAGTGTTTTGTTTCATTTTTTTAATTTTTTTTTTTGAAAATTGAATTTTTTTTTTCGTATTTTTTATTTTTAGTAAATATTTATAAAATTTTAAGTAATTGTTTTTTTAATCTTTTTAGATACACCTTATTTAGATATATCTAAAAAGTAAAATATTTATGAAAAAATATTCTAAAAAATTAATAAATACACAAAAATATGAAAAATATACTAAATATTTGTATTTTTTTATATTTTTAGTATTTAGTAAATTTTTTAAAAATTTTTTCACAAAAATTGTACTTTTTAAGTGTATTTATGTTGAAAGTGTCTAAAAAAAATTTTAACAAAAAAATTTGTTTAAAATATTAAAAAAATTCAATGAAAACAAAAGAAAAAAAAATAAAATTTTCTGAAAAATAAATTCTGAAAACAAAAACCAAACAGAGTGAATACATATAATGAGATTTTCTAAATCTATAGCTCCCCCTCTTTGTACAACGATTTTTTTAAGGCACACAAAAGAATCACACACATACATCTCTATTGCTTACCGAAACATAGGTCTTCACCTTCATAACGTGAAGTAGCTTAACCCAGGCTGTTTGAAACTATATAACACTAAGGCCATGTTTGTTTGGGCGGACTGGATTAGTATTCCCATGACTAACAGTCCTAGGACTACGAATCCGTTGGATTATGTATCCTATCTTAACTAATAGTCAAGTTTAAAATAGTTAGTCCGTACTTCAATTGTTTAACCAAACATCGGATTAATAATTTTATTGGACTATTAGTCCAATCCCAAGCTCATGTCTACCCAAACAAACATGACCTAAATCCGAAGTAATCTGTTAAATCTAAGTTTTGAGCTATTCTCCTTGAATAATTAATGTCCAATCCATGCATATCAAATCCCTAAATACAAAGGAAGCCTAAAGTCTTTTATAAATTACAAGGAAGTAACAAAAGTGACATAATAGCAAGAAGAATCAATTACAAATAAGACACACAACAAAAGAGACTTAAGTGAATGAGATAAATTGCATACGTTTATGACTCGCACCAATTCCACCATGCTAAAAGAATAAGAGTCAATTCCGCTATGCTAAAAGAAGAAAAGCGTATAATTCGACTAATTAAATATGCAACTGCATGGGGTATACAATACTAATCAGACTATACAAACCCAACAACTAAAACATTCCGAGAATAAAATACAATTGGTATGGTGTATGACAACACAAAAGATTTTTCTATTTGATGCAAAGGCCAAATTCAGAGTCAGCAAACTACAAAAGTACTCATACATGCCTTATCAGGATTCCTCAAAGCACTTGCAAGAGGATGCCTCCTTGTGCAACAGACTTTTTTTGCCATTATCAAAGTAGCACAATCATAGATATAAGAACAACAAAACAATATAAACTTTCTTCTTATTTTTTTCCCTTTTTTGGGTAAGCTACAAAGTCCAATATAAATGCAAAACACCATCAGGGCAACCAGAATATCAAATAAACGCCAATGCATGTTACAATCCGAAGGTTGCATAAAACAGTAACTGACAAAATTCTAAGTTGCATAGTACAAAAATCCAACAAAAACTGGCACGATAAAAACATAAACTAAGACAATGGCTCCAAACCAAAGCCTGGCTATTAATATCCCATCCTCTCAACACTTGACTTCCTTCAAACCATGACCGAAGTACAAAAATGTTGGGTCAGTAGCACCATCCTTGTAGTATGCAAACACTATGGTACTGTCATCATGCATGCTCTCCCCGACAAAACTGCAAAACAACATGTTCAACTTCATTAAGTTCCCACCCCTAGATTCATGGTATATCATCAGCAAGAAGATGCAAGTTTTACCATCTTTAATTTATTTCTTTTGGGAGGTGGTGTTATTAGGTTACTCCTAATACTTGAGATGGGGAACAAGGATGACAGTAAACAATAACAGGGCACTTACAATTGGAGGTCACTTAGCTTCGAGAGCAAGAACTTAGTTGCTCCCTCGATGTTCTTCTTAAATTCGTCTTGCTTGTCTCCCTCCAGCTTGGGTGTCAACAACTTGATGTACTTCTTTATATATGCAACGAACAGCTTCTTATCGAAAGGAGGTTGCTCCTGCAAACGTCACATGCTATCGTGTCACGCGCTCAAAAACTCACATTAGGTTGCTTCTGATGTAGAGACACGAAAAATGGTTAAACTAACCTGGAGCCTGAATGTGTCAACAATATCAACCACTTTGACGGTTTGATCATCAACACCCTCATCTTCACCACCACCTTCGGCAGAAGGGTTAGCACCAATGTCTACATCAACTGCTCCCTGAACAACCCACTGCAACATGCCAATAAATTCATATAGCAAATTAAAACACATATCCATCATCCAATATTATCTCACTAAAATATCCAACAGATAAACTAACATAAGTGAACAACAAAGTCCAACAACATTTAACTATTTAAGTAACAAGCTTCATTAGCATGAATAAGCAATACAATATCGTTATTGAGCATAAAATAGCAAGGAGGTGAAAAAAACTACTAACCTTCCCCTCAACTTCCCACAACACTCCATTATGGATTTCCTTGTATGGAAACGAATCCGAGAGAAGCTCATCCCCTAGAATTGACAAACATGATCCATATAAATAGTAGAACAATAAATTCATTCCTATGTGACTTAGATGAAATGAAGCATGACCGTAGAACATAAAATAGAAATCAAACAGAGAAACGAGATTCATGATTCGACACGATTCATGATTTGCTATTTTAACAAAAAGACTCAAGATTCAATATGAGTCACAATATTTTAACAAAACTATTCACGATTTGACAACACACAACATGCATAATCACAATAAAAATTCCTAAGCAAAGAGAATATATTTTTTTGTATATGCGATATAATTACCACGGCTTTTTTTTTTATAGGAAAAAAAAAATTCAATATCAGGGTCAAAGAAAATTTATTACTTTAAAAAGTAAAGTTCAAATTTGGTCATGTCAATTACAATAAGGCCATCTCCAGCCCTTACTCATATTTTTACTCAAACTTTAGTAAAAATATCATTTGATATAGAGTTCTCCAATAGACAAACTCAAGTTTGAGTGGAAGTTTGATAAGTGGCACAATTGTAAATTTAGAAGGTATTATATCACCCCAAATTGTCTATAAAAAATTAATTTTAAAAATGGGTCTCTATTGATTTGGGTAAAAATTTGACTAAGTTCGTTTTGGTATGAATTTGAGGAAAAGGGTGGAGACTGGAGAGAGATTTTGAGCATCTTTACTACAATTTGAGAAAGGCACCAATTCTTTCATATGAATTAAGGGCTAAAAGTGAGCTCCAATCATTTTCATCAAACTTGTATCAAAAGGCAAAATTTTTACCAAATTAAGGATGAACCAAATCCTGAACCACATTTCAAGCAGTGATATTTTTACTCAAATTTGATGAATTTTTAAAAATAGTAAGGAAATGGTTAAAACAAATTTTTAGCACAACTATGAAATTTTTCAAAAAGATTTGATGGGAAAAAAAAATAATTTAAAGTAAGGATTTGAAGTGTTCCATACGAGATCAAGTTTTTAATCAAACCCTCACTCAAATTTGACGAAAAAAGGAAGAGTAAGGATTGGAGATGCTGTAACAACAAGGACCATAATCAGATCCACCATATGAAACAATACTAATTGATCTAAAACAAGTTTGATCAAATCAAATGACTATTAAATTTTCATAAATCGCCATCAAATAATTAAACTGAATATAGATCTAAAAAAAAAACTAATTTAAATATACAATAAATTGAACGCTATATAGCAGAGAATACTATATAGATACATAGATCAAGAAAGAGAGATTACCCGTAAGCAAGTCCTGGTAGACCAACATGATTGCAGAGCTAGCTCTCGGATCGTTAGGATAGAGATGGAGGAGAGGTAGGAAAGAGGAGAGAGAGAGGGGCACAGAAAAGAGGAGAGAGAGAATATAAAAGGCGAGGGTTTGGGGAAGAACGTGTCTAATTACGAAAACAGAATCACCTTTTCCATTAATTTCTAACCATGTCTTTTTCTTTTTCTTTTTTGTTTTTAAGCCCCAATTGAAAAATAGTTGAGACTCCTCTTAAAAATCACTTCTAATCACTAATGAAATATCTGATAAATATTAATAAGTTTTAATTTTATAAATATTTCATTATATAAAATTTAATTTTAATGTCATATCATCTTGAGTAATTTAATCATAATAAATTAATAGAATGTAACATTGTTGAGCATCAATTGTATTTTTTTTTTTGGTTATATCGAAAAGAAAAACACAAACCAAGGGCTAAGCCCGTTCAATAGATAAACCAATCATGTCCCTTACTAGCAAATTCCTAATTTCAGCTAGTGGTAAACCACCAGGTTGTTCTGCTCCGAGTTTGGCTAGCGTGTCTACACATAGGTTGACTTCTCTCCAAATGTGTTGGATTATGCATTCATAGCCTCTTAACATAATTTTTGCATTATCCACCAAAATTTCTGAAGGGGCAATTGGCCACGGTTTCTTCCTTTATCAGCTTCACGACTTATGTTGTATCCGTTTTTATTAGTACATTGTATAAACCTGATTAATGCCGAATTGTACAACATTGAGACTGTTAATTAGAATCTCTTAACTTTACTTGTTTGTCAAATTATATATTTTATGTTTGTTTAATGTCAATCAGGTTGTACATAATCGGAGCATAAAATGGGCAAAAATACAGAATTTGGAGAGAAAACAGTTTCCCGCATGTGCGTTAACATTTTTCGCACGTGCGTTGACTTTTCTCAAAAAACGGGCTGATGTTTTAAACCTGTTTGAAAGACAACAGAAGTATAAATAGGCAAGAAAGATGCAGGATTAGGGTTCTGAAATTAATTCCAAGAAGAGAGAGACTATAGCGATCCCGGTTTTCCCTTCCTTTGTTTATTGTATTTCGGACTTGGTTCCATGGTTATATTGTTGTCTTATTCTCATTCTCATCCTTTACTCTTTGTATTTGAGTCTTGGGTTGCGTTGGGCAGGTTTGGAACAGGTTGGTTGTGTTTAGAAACCAAAAGTTGATGCCCAGATTTTGGCCTTCATGCTCGAGCGGGCCCTTTGTTGTTGCTTCTCCGCTCGAGCGGGAGTTTGGACGCTCGAGCGTGAATATCCATCTCCTAGTATTTTTCTCTACAGGTCGTCGGACGCTCGAGGGGGAGTTTTAACGCTCGAGCGGGCCCTTTTGGTTTTGTTCCTCCGCTCGAGCGGGGAGTCTGACGCTCGAGCGGGGACCATGGTCTGCAAAACTTCTGGGAGTGTGCATCCAGCGCTCGAGCGGCGTGAGTTTGTGTCTGACGCTCGAGTGGGGAGTTTCACGCTCGAGCGGGGCGACGTGTATATCAGTCTGAAGTTCGACTCTTTGGATCACTTTTTCAACTCCTTTTCTCTCTCTTACTTTTTAAAACCTCCATTAGAGGGCTCCTATCTTTAAAACCCAACTTCTCTCTAAGTATTGATCTAGTTAGAGTGATCTCTCACCTTTGTCCCTTTGTAAAAAGTGTGGAGTTCGTTGTGGGCTATCTATCAATCCGAAAATTTCTTGATTTGGAGCACTTCGAGTTTTCTTCATCTTCTTCCTTTAAGTTTCGAATTTGAGGTAGGGATAACTACTCATGTATGTGATCTTTTACATAAGCTTTCGGTCATTTTGATTTAATGTTGATTTATGTGGGTAGTTTTGGGTGTTAGGGTTTTCAAATGAGTAAGAGGGGTTTATGTTATTTTGGCCCACATTTGTGTATTTTGGGTCATAAAATGAGGGTATTTATGTTATTGTAGATATTTTGGGCCTTTGGGTCAATATTGATAAAGCGAAAAAAAGCCCTAATTTGATAATATGAATTAATTTATATAATTAATTTAGGAATGTTATAGAAATATGAAATTGAGTTGGGAATAATGAAATTGGTTCACTATGAGGTAGAATGGTAGAGTTGGATTCATAAATCACTCACCTTTGAAAATGTTGATAATTTATTTGTTGGTGCATTTATTAGCTGTTTAGAAATAACTGCTTTGGGTTATCGGTGGAGGATAGTCTTGATTGTTGTAGACACTGCATGATGATTAGGTGAATTAAAACTAATCGGTTTGTTATGTCATTGAGTATGACGGTTGGAATAATACATTAAATTTATGTATTGGTTGATTATGTATATGATGTGTGTTTCTATACATTGTGTTGTGTGGGAGGAGATAGGGGATGTACTCCACGGTTTAGGAGAAGACAGGGAATGGACTCCTAACCGAATGTTGTTTGGGAGGAGATAGGGGATGGACTCCATTGATATAGCAAATATGTGTATCTATTGAAGTGTTGATACAGCGAATATGTATATCCATTGTGAAGTATGGAAGTGTGTAAATGTGTTATTGATACAGCAAATATGTGTATCTATTGTGAATTATGGAAGTATTGTTAATATGAGCTGTGATCTCATGAGAATTGCTTGGCCAAGTTTTGAGCCATATCTATGAATTGAAAACCGGTTAAGTAAAGGAAAGATGAATGAAACATGGACATATTTGTCATATAATTGAACTGGGTTATGAATTGATTTATGTGGGTTAAACATTTATCAAATGCCAATGTTTTAGTTTTTGCTCATGTTATGTTTAGCATATCTCTACTGGGCGTTGGCTCACCTATATGGGACATCATTTTCAGGTTCAGGTATTATGCCGCCTTTGAGATCTTAGCTTGGATAGCTGTGGGAGTTGAAGGCTCTTTTGTTTATCTTTTGTTGTATTACATGTATATCAAGCCAAAGGCTTATTTTGTGTAGAGTTAGTGCTCTCTTTTTGTAACCAAGTGTTGACTTGGAAAGTTGTAAGCTTATAGGGCATTTACTTTTGTTGTCAACATGTAATACCTTTTGTAATGAATACTCTGATGAATGAAATTATACTTTATTCTCTTATGTCTAAGCATGTCAAGATTGTATGGTTATGGGTTTATTTTGAAGGCGTTACAATTTGGTATCAGAGCGTACCGGGTTTGAATACTTTGGGTACGCGGGTAATGGTTAGTACCACAATGGGTTCGTCTCGTTTATTAGAGACTTAGATGTAGTATTATATGCTTATGTGATAACATGTTTATATGACTATTTGGGTATGGGATTTAGTTTCAAGGATGTTGATTGGATCCTTGGGTTTCTGTGAGTCTTGTTGGAAAAGCACTTGATCAATGCTATTTCTAACCGGAACTCTAGTAACGCCTCGGGACTATCATTATCCGAAAATGAAATTTGTAGGTGCTTAAGTGATTATGTGCTTACGTGGAGTGAATTACTGTTGTCCATTGCATTAGGACGCTAGTGTTATAGCTTCAGCTCATTTGTGAATGTGCTAATATTCTTTGTTACCTTTACTAGAATGTCAGGACGAGGACGTGGTGGTAGGCGAGGTAGGCCTAGGAGGCAGGAGATGCCTATACCGGATGGGATTCTGGCACAACAGGAGGGTGTTGGTCAGGCCAATGTGGTCGAGCCAGTGGGTCAGCAGGCCATGGGTGACTTAGCCTGCGAGATAGCAGGAGCTATGAGAGAATCCATAGGCATTCTCAGAGCTGAGAATCCAGTGCAGGCCTAGGTTGTTAATGCAGGGCCTTCCTTTCAGAAGAGGGAGTTCCTTCGGTCTAATCCGGATAAGTTTGTTGGGGATCCTAAGGAGCCACTTAGGGCTGATGAGTGGCTGGAGCAGATAACGAAGACGTTTGAGATGATTGGCATCAAAGACGGGGCATTGAAGGTGACCTTGGCATCTTTCCAACTTAAGGAGGATGCGGGTCAGTGGTGGAAGTTCATGAGGGGTCGTATTGGTAGTACATGGGAGGCTTTTGTAGATGCTTTCCAGGAGAAGTTCTTATCTCCAACTGTCAGAGAGAAGCTGAGGAACCAGTTTTGTCAGCTCAAGCAGCTGAGTTTATTAGTGGCCGAGTTTGAGGCCGCATTTACTAGCTTATCTAGGTTCACACCTGAGCTTGTGGCGTCTGAAGAACGCCGCTGTATAAAGTTTGAGAGGAAGTTGAGGTATGGCCTCAAGATGAAAGTTGGGGGTTCTATGACCCGGGACTATGGGCGCCTTGTGGATGCTGCGGCCATATAGAGATTATGATGCAGGAAGAGGAGGAGGGACAGAGGGGCTCCAAGAGGAGTCAGGATGGTCAGGGGGACGGTAGGAGGCAGAGGGGTCCTAACCCTTAGTAGTCCCAGGGTGCTTTTGCTAGATCGACCTTTCCAGTGTCGAGTGCAAGCTCTGGGAGAGGCAGTCAGGGAGACATCACCTGTTACAAGTGTGGTCAGCTGGGCCACAAGTCTCCAGCTTGCCCGCAGAGGGGAGGAGGTTAGAGAGCGGCTTCATCTTCGGCTCGATCTCAGAACCAGAGTCAGGGTAGAGGCCAGCCGCTTTCTTGCTACCACACCTGAAGAGGTTTTGCCCGCAGTTGAGTGGCACATCTGGTGCATTTGGGCCGAGGCAGAGTTTTCATCCAGCTCAGTCAGTTCAGGCCTCGAGGCCCAATCAGGGGGCTTCATCGTCCCAGTCTGTGCAGCAGTCTTTTGCTCCTAGGGGTGAGCAGGTAGATTAGGGGCCTACAGGGCGTGTGTATGCTGTTACTGCGCAGGATCTAGTACCGGCTTCATCTGTTGTGAGAGGTACCTTTTTGTTTTGCAATTCGGTTGCCAATGTGTTGATTGATACGAGTGCATCTCATTCCTTTATATATACTGCATTTGCATCTGTTTTGGGGCTGGAGTTGGCACAGTTAGCATCTTCTATTTGTGTAGTATTACCTGTTGGGGGTGAATTGATTTTGAAACAAAGGTGTAGAGGTTATGACATAGAGGTCGCAGACTGCCGTCTTCCATTCTCTTTTGTAGTTATGGCTATGTCAGGTTTCAATGTGGTTTTGGGTATGGGCTAGTTATCGTCATACCAGGCAATTATTGAT